TTGCATAAGTATACACATGCCATAGTGGTTTGCTGCACCTGTCAACCCATCATCTAGGTTTTAAGCCCTGCATGCATTAGGTATTTGTCATAATGCTCTCCCTCCTCTTGCCCCCCCATACGCCTAGTAGGCCCTGGTGTGTGATGTTCCCCTCCCTATGTCCAGGTGTTCTCATTGTTCAACTCCCACTTATGAGTGAGAACATGTGGTGTTTGGTTTTCTGTTCCTATTTTAGTTTGCTGAGAATAATGGTTTCCGGCTTCATCCATGTCCTTGCAAAAGACATAAACTCATTTCCTTTTTATGGCTGCAATAGCAGAAAACTTTTTATCTGAGATATGGAACAAGATAAGGATGTTTTCATTTTATATTAAAATTGTGTATGACAATATTTCACTGTGTACGCTTTGTGGAAGCACAAGTCAAATATGGATCAGTGATATGTCTATTTCCAATATAAGAAACCATCTGCATGCATATTGTTCCTTATTGTTTATGAGTTGTATACTTGTTCTGGTTTTTTTTAATACAGTGGTGATTTTGCACTGCCTAGGTGAGTCATCATTGAAATTCTTCTAATTTTATCTGCCATTTATTTATAAATCTATGGTTTCACATCTTCCCACTGTATCTGTTTTAGCTATTCTTTTTTTTTTTTTTTTTTTTTTAACGGAGTCTTGCTCGGTCGCCAGGCCAGAGCACAGTGGCACAATCTCGGCTCACTGCAGCCTCTGCCTCCCAGGTTCAAGTGATTCTTCTGCCTCAACCTCTTGAGTAACTGGGACTACAGGTGTGTGTCACCACCCTGGCTAATTTTTGTATTTTTAGTAGAGACGGTGTTTCACCATGTTGGCCTAGATGGTCTCAATCTCTTGACCTTGTGATCCGCCCACCTTGGCCTCCCAAAGTGCTGGGATTACAGGCATGAGCCACCGCACCCAGCCTTAGATATTTTAATTGTCATCAAAACACATAAACTTTATAATCTTAAATAATTTTAAATATTCAGCTTAATCATATATTGATGTTGTTATTCACTGTATCTCTAGAATATGTTTATCTTGCAAAGCTAACACCCGGTACACAACTACCTTTTCTGTTTTTTGGCCCTTTACAAAAACAATTCTGTTCTCTATTTTAGAGTCAAACTGCTTTAGATATCTCATGTGAGTTGATTCATATAGTTTCTCTCTCTTCGTGGTTGACTTCATGTTGCACAATGTCATCAAGATTTATCCTTATTATACATGTTACAATATTTTTTGCTTTTACACACTGGAGTAATCTTTTATTATTTCATTATCTTTATCTGTTTATGTGGTGAGAGAAATTTGCATGGCCTTCATTTATTTGCTTTCATTAACAATGCTACAATAATTATGAATGTACAAATTATTCTTCATGTGACCATATGTGTGAGAATGTATATTTTTGCTGGATTTTATATTGATCTGGCTGTTCAGCTGTATACCCATGCCAATTTTTTTTTAATTCTTTAGCTTTGTATGTGTTTTGATATCATGAACTGTGGTGCCACCAACATTGTTTCTCTTTTTGAAGATTGGTAGATGCTTCACTGTCCTTTGAAATTTTGTATAATTTGGGGGTTGCTATTTCTATTTCTGTAAAAATTTAATTAAAAATTTGACAGTTTGCATTTAATATGCAGATTACATCAAACAGTCTAGATATCTTCATAATATTAATTATTTGAAACTTTGAATAAGAGCATGCTGAAGAGTATGGTGTTTAGTTTCTATAAACATGTCAATTTTTTAGTTTTCTTTGTTGAGACAGAGTTTTGCTCTTGTTGGCCAAGCTGGAGTGCAATGGCGGGATCTCAGCTAACCACAATCTCCACCTCCCGAGGCCATATATGACAAGTGATTCTCCTGTCACAGCCTCCCTAGGAACTGGTATTATAGGCATGCCCAGCTAATTTTGTATTTTTAGTAGAGACAGGGTTTCTCCATGTTGGTCAGGCTGGTCTTGAACTCCCAACCTCAGATGATCTGCCTGCCTCAGCCTCCCAAAGTACTGGGATTACAGGCATGAGCCACTGCACCTGGTCAGTTTTCTTTTTGTTTGTTTGTTTGTTTGAGACAGAGTTTTGCGCTTATTGTCCAGGCTGGCATGCAGTGATGCAGTCTCAGCTCACTGCAACTTCCGCCTCCCGGATTCAAGTGACTCTCCTGCCTCAGGCTCCCGAGTACCTGGGATTACAGGCATGTACCACCACGCCCAGCTAATTTTGTATTTTTACTAGAGACAGGGCTTCTCCATATTGGTCAGTCTGGTCTCAAACTCCTGACCTCAGATGATCCGCCTGCCTCAGCCTTCCAAAGTACTGGGATTACAGGCATCAGCCAGCATGCCTGGCCCAAGTTTTCTTTTTTTAATTAATTTCTATTCTCATTCCAGTTTGATCATTAAGTGTAATTTGTAAATTTTTGATTTTAAAAAATTTGTTAAGACTTTTTTGTGAGGGGAAGGAAAGAAAAATAGACTTTTTTGTGGCTTAACACATTCAGGGAGAATATTGTTTGAGCTATTCATATTCAGAAGGATATGTATTCTCTGCTGTTGTTGAAGAGTGTTCTCTACAATTCTGTTCGGTATAATTGTTTTATACTGCTTCAAGTCTTCTATTCCCTTATGAATGTTCTGTCTTTTTTGATTATTCATTATAGAAATTGAGGTATTAAAACATCTTACTATAATTATATTGCTCTCTATGTCTGCTTTACTTCTGTCAGTATTTGCTTTATATATTTGGAACTCTAAGAGACACACACACACACACACACACTAATATAGGATATACAGACATTTTTCAGGGGTTCCAAGTCAACATTTTTATCATAGTTTGATGTTCTTCTTTGTCACTTATGAGCCTTTAGTTAAAATATATTTTATGAAATAGGACAGTTTTTGACTTAAGATGTACTTTGAGTAATATGATTTTGACCTCTTCTATTTTGTTATTTGCCTCAAGTTTTTTTCTTTCATCTTGCCTTTTTCAATCTCCTTTAATCATTAGATCTCAAGTGACTCTTGTAGAAAAGCAAGTTGTATCTTGCTTTTTGATTTCTTAAATTATTTGGTGCATGTATTTCGAATGTAAAGTTTACTTTGTAAATATTTAAATAATTTGCTGAAATAGAAAGCCTTATTCATGTTATTAATTGTTTTACTCGATTGTCGTATCTTTGTCCCTTATTATTTTTCTGCCTTTTGTGTCCTTCTGATTTTTGTATTGATAGAATTTTACTTCTTATTTTTTTATGTATCTATACAGATACTTACTTTGTGGTATCTTAGAAAATACATAAAATTTCTCAAAGTATAACCTTAAGTTGCATTTGAAAATTCTTCCTCATTACATCTGCCCTTGACTTTGTTATTAATTTTACTAATTATATTTTAATGTTGTGTATTTATTAACAGATCATGGTGAATAGTTTATGAACATTTTATGCTCTTTAAAATTTTAGAGAATAATTAAAATGTTTTCTGCACTATCATAGTAATGGTACAGAACCTTACATTTGTATATGTGCATGTCTTTACCAGAAAGTTATGTATTTTCATATGATTATGTTTTCTTGCATCATACTGTTTTCAGTGGAAGATACTTTTCTTCAGCATTTCTTTTGTAACGCAGGTATTAACGCTAATACATTTTTTCAATATTTGGTTCTCTTGAAAGCGCTCTACTTTTTCTTCATTTTTAGAACAGTTTGGCTGGTTTTATTATTCCCACTTAGAAGCTATCTTTCAGCATTTTAACTATATCATAATTCCCTCTTGTCTAAAAAAAAATTGTTGACAGATTCAGTGACTATCTAAGACCGCACTTAAAATTACACATCACTTTTATCTTGCAGCTCCTAAGATTCTCTTTCTTTGACTTTTGAAAATTTGCTTATATGTGTACCTTTTTTTTAAATCTGTGTACGTATCCTAGTTGAAGTTTGTTGAGCTTCATTTTTTACATCCTTCTCTTTTGAAATTTTCTGTCATTATTTTTGTATTTTTCACCTCCACAATTTGTTTTTTATATTTTTAATGTTTTCATTGATAGTCTTACTTTTCTTGTTATATTTACTTGTATGTGTTCCCATTTAGCTCACTGAGCATTATTCAGGTTAAATTTTTAAAATTTGTACATCTTCATTTTTTATGGTTGTTTTCTGAAAAGTTTTAAATTTTTTAATTAGGCCATGTTGCCCTAATACTTTGTATATATTGTAATATTTGCTTGTTATTTGAACATTAACATAAAGCTGTCACAATATTTACAATGTTGCTTTGTCCTGACATAATCTGAATCCAATTGTCTTTGCTGGAGACAATGGGAGCCTCTCATACATCTAAGGATGTGTCTTGTCTGGAATTTTAGGTTTATTGTTCGGTTTAAAGGGTTTGATCGTGTTTCTTCTTAACAGTCTCTAATCACTATTCTACCTATTCCCTGTATTTAATACTGCAGTCTGCTCCTGAAACATTTGGTCTTAACAGACCCAAGCTATTCTTCCAAAGTATACCACCATTTCTGTCAGCTGTCTCTGTTACTGGAGACAGAAACCAGATTTTGTAAAGACCGCCACAAACAAGAAGTAAGGATATATGTGTCAGTATATTTCTTCTAAATAAGAAGCCAGGAGTTGAAAATTTACTCCTGTAGGCATTGTGCTATATTGGGGAGGAGAAAGAGCTGTGGTGGGTAAATGTAACAAACTTCCCTTCCTGTTCATGTGGTTCTTGGCATTGTGCTTACCGGAGGTATTCCATACAATTAACTCATTTAAAAATTTTGCAACAAGGCATTTTGGTCAGTATATTTTTGTTACAATTATATGTCTGTGAAGAAATTATAACCTGCGATACTTTGTTATGCTAGCTTACTAATGTAGTTTGTATACGTTTTATATATTAGATTCATAAAGTATATTCATATGAATCTAGTAAGTTGGATAATTTATTTTTATTTATTTCAGCTACGTGTTCTCCTTTCACCCAAGACCTTTCACCAGTTCAGGGGATAGAAGATTCATTCCATAAACGTATACTGAGAAGATGTGAGAAATGTGGACATGAGAATTTACGATTAAGAAAAGACTATAAAGGTGTGAATAAGTGTAACGTGCAGAAAGGAGTTTATAATGGACTTTACCAATGCTTGTCAATTTCCCAGAGCAAAATATTTCAGTGTAATGCATGTGTTGAAGTTTTTAGTAAATTTTCAAATTCAAACAAACAGACAAAACACACTGGAGAGAAACCCTTTACATGTACAGAATGTGGCAGATCATTTTACATGTCACACCTAACTCAACATACAGGAGTTCATGCTGGAGAGGAACCCTGCAAATGTGAAAAATGTGGCAAAGCCTTTAATAGTTCCACATCCCTTACTAAACATAAGAGAGTTCATACTGGAGAGAAACCCTACACATGTGAAGAATGTGGCAAAGCCTTTAGACGGTCCACAGTGCTGAATGAACATAAGAAAATTCATACTGGAGAGAAACCCTACAAATGTGAAGAATGTGGCAAAGCCTTTACACGGTCCACAACGCTGAATGAACATAAGAAAATTCATACTGGAGAGAAACCCTACAAATGTAAAGAATGTGGCAAA